GTGAAGAGTTTGCAGGGTAGCCTCTGTTGGAGGGAACTCGGAGGAGTGAGGAGCGGCGCGCTGCCGGCCCTCGACACAAGGAACACAGGTAGGGGCAGGCCCCGGAGGAAGGGGAGGGAGGGACCGGGGGAGACCAGAGACAAGGGTACGGGAGGCCATACCTCGAAGACGAGGCAGGGAGGGGTGACCAAGGCGGTGGTGCCAAAGGAGAGTCTCGTGTGACAGAGGACGACATGAGCAGGGGGCCGACGCTGGACTAGTCCTGGACGCAGCAGAAAACACCTGACCAGAAATGGCTACCTAACCAGACGCAGTAACTGGAGGAGACGCAGTAGTCAGTGTGTACAGACTCGAGCCAGGCCGACGGGTGAACGTGGCCAGGTGGCGGCCCGTCCGAGAGCAAGTGCAGTGGGTCACACGCTGACCTCCAGGGGTGAACTGGTCAACCCACGCGTCCTGGAGGTCAGCTCCACTCACCAAGTTCGTAGAGAACGAGGGGAGGTGGAGTCCCGACAGCAAGCTCGACGGGGCCGCAGGACACGGTAGAACCGTGGAAGAGTGCGCAAGGACTAGGCCCCCAGAGGGGTCAGCCAGGGAGACTGCGCCAGGCCGACTGAGCGGCGTGAGTGTGGTGCTGTCGCGAAAGAGGAGCGCGAAGCACCAGAGTCAAGTGTGAAAGTGTGCAAGGCCTTAGTAGGTGCAGTACCAGAGAGAGCAGACTCACCCGCACCTGGAGCAGCAGACTCACTAGTACCTATAGCAGTAGACTCACTAGCACCTAGAGCAGCAGCCTCCATGCCCGGGTCGAGCGGAACACACAGGTAACAGTCACCCTCAGCACTATCAGTCGCAGCATACATGGCAGCAAGGATAGCATCGAAATAAAGATCAAAGATAGCTACGTTCTGCTTAAGCAGATCACCCCAGCGCGGGAGCTCAACAACGTCAAGAAACTGGGCGCGCCAGGCGTCAGTCAGGCGACCGAAGCAGTGCGGCGCAGTGTGTGGCAGCTCGCACGTCTCCCCACGGCGCCCGCCGGTGCGAAGAACGTAAGTGCAGGGACCAACACCCCCAGACCTCCCATACCCAGCGGACCACTCACGAAGCTGCTGGGCCGACTGGGTCTCACGAAAACGCGGCTGCTACTGGCGTTGGCTACCACCAGAGCCTCCACGCTGCGCGGCTCCACCGCGACCAGCACCACCGCCACCGCCACCTCCACCACCGCTGCCGCTGCCTCCACCGCCGCTGCCGCTGCCTCCACCACCCCCACCGCCGCCACCGAAGCCCCCACTCCCGCCACCACCCCCACCTCCACCGCCACCCCCTCCGCCTCCTCCACCGCCTCCACCGCCGCCCCCACCGTCCCCTCCACCACCCTTGCCCCCCTTGCCCATACTGTTGCGGCGCCTCCCACTAGGAGCAGACGCAGCCCCGACCTCCGCAGTACCAACGAGATCGACAGCAGCAGCAGAAGCAACAGAGGGGAGAAGGGGGACAGGGGAACACCCCTCAAAGAAAGGGGCGCGAGGGTCACCGCGAGAAGCACCTACAGCTAAGATACCCTTCGCAGTTGCAGTGAGGCGCTCCTCTAGCAGGTCGACAGTGAGCTCGGTGGGGCAAAGGGAGAGAAAGTGGTCCCTGACTGAAGCAAGGGAGTCAGGGAGGCGGGTGACTAGGTAGTAAAAGGTGATGTACATGGGGGGGGGGGTTCTTGGCACTGAACTCAGTGGGAAGCGCAGCTCGGTAGCGGGCGTCACTAGTGCGGAGGTGAGTAATGAGGTCAGCGATTGTGGCAAAAGCGGCAAGGTCAGGGAACAAGTATGGTAGCACGAGGCGGCTGAGGGCAGCAGTGGCAGGGGAGGAGTAGCGCGCTACTACACCGTCGTACAAAGACTGAGCAGTCTTGTACTGGCCAAAGTGCGCGCGCTCAGCAGACGGCAGGTGACTACGAACAGCAAGGCGAGCAACAGCGTCACGAGTGGTCCACTGCGAGCAAACCGTACTGTCAGCAGTGGCAGCAGGTGCAGTAGAGACACCGGACGTGTGATCGAAAAGGGATACCCCGTCCCTAGAGTCACACTGAAGAAAGAGCTGTAGGTCGTCAACCCACATGTCAAAGTCAACTGCACGCCCCTCAGCATCAAAGGTAAGAACAGTAGGGCTAGCCATAGCGGCAGTAGCAGCAGTAGCAGCAGTGGCAGCAGAAGCAACAGTAGCAGCAGGAGCAGCGCAGGCAGGGCAGTGCGGCTCAGTAGGGTGGCGCGGCTCGGTACGGCGGCGCGGCTCGGCAGGGCGGCGCGGCTCGGCTGGGCGGCGCGGCTTGGCTGGGCGGCGCGGCTCGGCTAGGCGGCGCGGCTCGGCTGGGCGGCGCGGCTCGGCTGGGCGGCGTGGCTCGGCTGGGTGGCGCAGCTTGGCTCCTGGTGGCGCGGCGCGGCAGGGCGGCGCGGGTGCTTTCCAGGGGCGGGTGCAGGGCAGGGCCTTAGCCGGCGGTTTAGGTCAGGGCCGCGACTAGGGCGGCAGCAGGGCAGGGCCGCGACAGGGCGGCTGCAGGGCAGGGCCGTGACGGGCGGCGAAGGCAGGGCCGCAACTAGGGCGGCAGCAGGGTAGGGCCGCGACAGGTCGGTAAAGGCAGGGCCGCGACGAGCGGCGACGGGCCAGCGACGGGCGGCTACGGGCCGGCGACGGGCAGCAACGGGCCGGGACGGGCCGGCGACGGGCCGGGACGGGCCAGCAACGGGCGGCGAAAGGCAGGGCCGCGACAGGGCGGCTGCAGGGCAGGGCCGCAGTGGGCGGCGAAAGCAGGGCCGCGACGAGCGGCTACGGGCCAGCGATGGGCGGCGACTGGCCGGGATGGGCCAGCGACGGGCGGCGAAGGCAGGGCCGCGACGGGCCAGCTAAGGCAGGGCCGCGACAGGCCGTACTAGGGCAGGGCGCGAGGCGTGGTTCGGGCAGGGCGCTAGGCGCGCTTCCGGCAGGGCAGGAAAAAATCGTGGTGGGCCCTAAAAAAACGTTCCCACTAGGGAACCTGCTCAGAATACCATGTCAAAATAGTGAACGAATGAATGACTGAACTAGCAAGCAGGTGGGTACAAGTAGGAAACCTAGAAATGTTGTACCCTATATGAACTACCCACTACAGCCTAAATAGACTATAGCATATAAGTTTGACAATGAGGACCAAGACCGGCGATGATGACTGTTACAAAAGCTTCTTCGGATATTGATCCTCCGCATCGAAGGAGTCTGTCGCGCAGTCCGCGACAACGGCTAATATAAGCCATTCCCTTTTCGCCGGGTTTCATTTCCACTGTTGTCAACTGTGCCATGAGACGACTCTGGTTAACACTGTCTGTTGCTTGATACAGGCTCTTCAGGTGGTCGTACGCCAGTTTGGCGGAGTTGCCGTATCCTCGATAAGACTGGATGTTCTGCTACTCGTTTGGCGTTAAATTTCGAAGGAGTATCGTGTACGCCATCAGCGTCTGATACGTATACTGCTGCTTGTCGTACTGTGTTGTGAGAATCCCAACAACTAGACCATTGGGATAGAATAGTGAACGAATGAATGACTGAACTAGCAAGCAGGTGGGTACAAGAAGGAAACTTAGAAATGTTGTACCCTATATAAACTACCCTACTACAGCCTAAACAGACTATAGCATATAAGTTTGACAATGCGCTTATAAAATGACAAATATACAATTTTAAACTACTAGCACGAAAATGTATTCCGCGTCATTGCGCACCCAATCGAGTCGATTTGAAACAGGGTTGTGGGTGAGAAACTCTCGCTACTTGGCAGGGAAAGATTCCCAACCAGCACATACACTCAAAATGAGTCACTAGGAGCTTCTGACAGCACTTGCTGACTGGACGCGCAGCCTGTGCAGGGTTTGAAGGCGAAGGAAATCTGATTTTCAACACATCCCCTCCTAAAGTGAACTTCGTTACAGTAATTTGACAGTTTATCAATTTTAAAACTAACATGCGCTTATAATAAATCATGTTTTTTAAGGGGGTGCGCTTATAATTGAGGATCGGACATGAGAGCATTGCTCCAGATAGAAGCGCATGCGCTTTTAATAGGCCTGCGCTTCTATCCGGGGTGATACGGTAACAGAGAAATACAAGCTTGTAGAATCCTAAGACGCTCGCAATACCATGTTAGAATTTGAAATGATTGAGTAGGATCGAATACTTAGGATGGTAGCTTCCTGTTGTAGCGGAAGTCTTTGTATGAGTTAAAGCCAGTGTAGGAGGCTTTGTTTGGACTAATGTAAGCCCATGTAGTGATATGTTTCAGGATCTATGTCTCTGAAATCAGATATATTATAAAGTGACAAGCATACAGAATATATAGCTAGAGTAAAGTACCTATTTGCCTATTGTACTGTGCTATTCACGCTATTCGTGTTCTGAAACGGTACGTGACTATTTGCGAGGCCCCTAGCTACTTGCTGACGTCATCCTAGGGCGCGTAGCGCTTTGCTGACGTCAGCCTATCGGTACTTTACTGTTACGTGCGAAGTCTCGTACTGTACTAACTGTACTACACAAATTTCTTGAAGTGCTTAAGTCTCGATATTATCTCAACAATTTTGTCACACTTGCCCCCCCTCTCTTTTTTCTTAGCCTGTATCGCAGCCGCCTTCTCAACCTGCTTGTTCTTCTTTGCTTCGATCGCAGCTGCCTTCTCCCCCTGTTTCCGCTTCTTCTCAGCAACAGCAGCAGACTTCGCTTCTTGCAGCCTCTTCTTTTCCGCAATCGCAGCCGCTTTCTCTTCCTGCTTTCGCTTCTTCTCCGCAATCGCGACCGCTTTTTCTTATTTTCCGCAATCGCAGCAGCTTTTTCCTCCTGCTTCCGTTTCTTCTCAGCAATCTCCTCTGCTTTCTCTGCCTGCTTCCTCTTCTTCGCCTCCAAAGCAGCCTTCTTAGCCGCAGCAGCCGGTGCTCTCCGTGCTGCCTCCTCCTTCCTCTGCCTCTCCAACTCCTCTGGACTCAATACAACAGGGTCCCCGACCCGCCTCCCGTCATCGACCCGCCTTCGCCTCCGAACCCACCACCAAGAGCAGTGCCATTAGTTGACGTGTCAGAGGATCCGCCACCGTTGGTGCTGGGGGCAGTGCTGTTTGTTGACGTGCCACTGCCGGATGAGCCGCCTTGGTACCCGGGGCATTGCGGTCCCTCGTCGCTGCCGTCCGCACAGTCGGCCACGCCGTTGCACTCGCCGCCTGGGGGCATGCAACCGATCTTAGATGGGCAGTAGGCCTGGTGGGGATGAGAATGAGCAGGGATGAAGGAAACACAGTGAGGGTGAGAGAACACATATGAGCCAACTTGATATCCCTGGAATTGACGGCCCCTTGTCGATGCCGTCTGCGCAGTCTACCACGTCGTTGCACTTGCCGCCTGGGGGCATGCAGCCGATATTAGACAGGCAATAGGCCTGGTGGGGATGAGTACGGGCAGGGGTGAAGAAATTAGACAGGGGGAAAGGGAACGGGCAGGAAAGAGGGAAACGCAGATTGGGGGAGAGATGCCCGTTGCACTTGACGCCTGGAGGCATGCAGCCGATCTTAGAAGGGCAGTAGGCCTGGTGGGAGCGAGAATGGCAGGGAAGAAGGAAACACAGTAGGGGAAGGTGACAGGCAGGGATAAAAGAAACAGAAATTGAGAGAGTGAACGGGCAGGAAGAAGGAAATCTAGAGTGGGGAAGAGAGAACGGGTGGGGAAAAAGAAGCACAGGGGAGGGAAGGGAATGGGCGGGTAAGGAGGAAGCACGAGAGGGAGGGGGGAGGGGGGAGGGGGGACAGAGGAGGGGGGTGGTTGGAATGGGCAGGGAAGAAAGAAATACTGGGGGAAAGAAACCGGGAAGGAATGAAGCACCAGGGGGTTTCGAGAACAGGCAGTGAAGCAACAATCGCAGCATGGCGGGGGGGGGGGGGGGGGGGGGGAGAACGGGCAGCGAAGAAGGAAGCACACAAAAGGGGGGAGAAAGGGCAAGGAGGAAAGGAAACACAGAGATGGAGAGAGAGCGGGTGGTGAAGGAATCGCAGAGGGGGGAGAGAATCAGCAGGGACGAAGGAAGCACATGAGGGGGTAGAGAACGGGCAGGAAGGAAGAAATCACAAAGAGAACCGCCAGGCGGGAGAGTGAGCGGCCACGGAAGGAGGAAAAGGGGAGGGAGAGGGGGGGGGGAGTAGGGGGGGGGGGGGGGGAGGAAGTGAACGGCTGGGCGAACATGTCCCATGGAAGCACCTTGGGGGAAAAAAACCATCGACTCGACTCGCATGCTGCGAATGTCGCTGCTAGCAGCAACATGATCACTACCAGCACGCACCCTCCCAACGTTGTCGCGAACGAAGTTCGTGCAAAATGCGAGCGACTCGTCGCTTTCGTCAGCGCGGTTGGGGTTGCCGTCGCACGCCTCAGATTCTTGCATGCACCTGCCGCCGCTGGGGCAGTACAGTTGAAACTGCTCGGGGTTGCACACGTTGCCCTTGCGGAGACTCACTCTACAACGGTGGTGAGCTAGACTACGAGGTTGGCACAAACTACTAGGAGTGATCGTAGCTTTCCTAGTTCCTTAGTGCTTGCACAATCACGGGAGAAATTGGCAAGAGTTTCCACTAGCAAAGTTGGAATCATAGAATAGCAGAACAAGCAATAACAAGAAAGACTACATCAGGCACCTAGAAACTCTGCAGCTAGCCTGGTCGACAGACAGCACAGTATGGTCGTCCGCGTGCCAGCGTTGCGTAGAGGAGCTGCGCCAGCACTGCAGAAAGGCGACCTGCCAACACAGCAAGTCGACGGTGTGCCAACGCTGCAGCAGAGCGGCTGTCCAGCGTTGCCCCGTAGAAGACAGCAGTGCGCACGCTCGCAGGTGTACGCAGATGATTGGCCCAACTTGCACCGTTGCGCATCCGTTGGCCTTTGCCTGCGCTTGACGAGCCACATCGACTTTCGGATACCAACCCGAAGTCACCTTCGCCATCGCGATTTCGACGACGTTCGCTTGCCTCCGCACAACTCGTCGAGCAGGTTACCTGGTCGGCCTGGACAACCCTAGGTGATTTGGTCGACTACCAAGTGCCTCTGGTTGACCACGGGTGCCCCTGGTCGACCACAGCTCCCATCGAGCTACCCCCTGGTCGACGGACCCCTTCCGTCGACCAGAACTGTCAGCTGTTCCTCATGTAACCTCCACATGTAACCTCGTGCTTCGATGAGCTTTGATTGTGTCGACGCCAACGTGCGCGCGCCTAGCGTGCCACCTGTCAGGCGACGACTTGGTCGCCGAGGCGATCGTCTGCAGTGCCACGACCCCGCTCGACGCCATTGTCGACTTCGTCGAGCAGGGATGAAGGTCGGTGCAAATGACCTGGCCTGTGTAGCGTGCCCGACCAAGCACGTCCCCCAACGCCGAGACGAGCAAAATCTCGTCGTCGTGGTCCTGCAACTTCACGCTGCTGCCCTTCAGCTGCACGCTGCTGTCCTTCAACTTCACACCTGCCGATAGCAGGTTCGCCTGCACGCTCGGGACGTAGGGTACGTCGAGGACGAGAATCTGCTTCCGGTCCTCCTCTCGCAGAGCAACGGTGCCATGGCCTTGGACGACCTGGAAAGCCCCATTGAAGCCGCGCACGTGATTCACATAGCAGCTTGGCTCCATGTCGACAAAAGCCTCCTTTGTCCCCATCAGGTGGTGGGGGCAGCTGCTGTCGAGCAGCACCGCCATCGGGTTCACCTGCACAGCGGCGGCGACCGCCTTATAGTCCTCGCCGGCCTTTGGCGCCAGCGAGACCGTCTGCTCCACTACGCCAAACATCGAGCACGGGGCCTTCCCGTCGCCTCGAGCTTTGCAGCCGGAGGAGTCGGCGTCCTTCGCCGATGACGTCTGCTTCGACGCCAGCTTCTCCTTGCGCGTCTTGTTGTCCCGGCGTTGACGACCGCCATCTGACCTTCTGCAGCCTCCCTCGCGGTCGTTGTCGTTAGAGTCCTCACGGTCAAGACAGTCATAGGAGAGGTGGACAGGGTAGCAACAGACCCATCATTCCCCCATCGACCTCCATCGCCATGCTCAGTGTCCTGAGCTGACTTCATTCGGTCTGCGTCCTTCGCCGACTTCCCACCTTCGCTGCCACCTCCGTCTGGCTTCCCATGTTGCCCATGCTGACGTCCTTGCTTCGTTGGGGCGACGTAGTTTGCCTGCGGAAGGAACTCCGTGGGTCTCTTGAACCCCTGCATGGCCTCGCCCTTGATGATGTTGTCAAAACATATTTGTATGTTCCTAGTTCTGCTAGGCTACAGTGAGGTGCTCAGAATAGGGTACAACCCCAGTTAGGGTTTCATACTTGTATCTCCCTGTTGCTAGTCACTCATCATTCCTGCACATATTGTTCTGACATGGTTTCAGAGCAGGAAACATGTTAAGTTTTTAGGGCCCACCGATAGTTCCGCTCTTTCCTGCCCAAAGCGCCCCCGCGCTGTCCTGCCCTGCTCGCACAGTATCGCGCTGCCCTACTGCCACGCGCAATGCCTGCCCTAGCGCGCTCCCCTGCTGCAACCCGCGCGTCGCGCCCCACTGCTGCCTGCGCGTTGCGCCCTGCAGCTCGCACGTCGCGCCCTGCTGTAGCCTGAGCGTTGCGCCCTGCTGCCCTGCCCAGCGCGCGCCGTCCTGCCTTGCAGCCCGCGCCCAGCTGCCCTACAGCCTGTGCATCGCGCTGCCCTGCCCTTAGGCCCGTGCGCCGCCCTGCCCTGCAGCTCGCAAGCCGCGCTTCCCTGCCCTTGGGCCCGCGCACCGCCCTGCCCTGCAGCCCAGCACGTCGCGCCCTGCTGCCCTGCCCAGCGCGCGCCCCGCTGCCCTGCACATCGCGCCCTGCTGCAGCCCGCGCGTCGCGCCCTGCAGCCTGTGCATCGCACCCTGCTGCCCCGCGTGTCGCGCCCTGCTGCAGCCCGCGCGTCGCGCCCTGCTGCCCCGCGCATCGCGCCCTTCTGCAGCCCAGCGCGTCGCGCCCTGCTGCCCTGCCCAGCGCGCCCTGCTCTGCCGAGCCACGCCGCCCAGGCCAAGCCGCGCCGCCCAGCCCGAGCCGCGTTGCCCATCCCGAGCCGTGCCACCCTGCCTCCTTCGCCAACCCCACCGAGCCGCCCTGCTACTACTACTGTTGCTGCTGCTCGTGCTGCTGCTGCTGCTACTGCTGTTGATAAGCTACTGCTGCCACCTGCGCTCCTGCTGCCCTGCCGAGCCGCCCTTGCTGCAACTACTGGCACTACTGCTGGTGCTGGAGGTGCTCCAGGGAGTGCAGGAGGTGTTGGAGGTGCTGCCGGGAGTGCTGGAGGTGCTGCTACTGACTCTCACTACCTGTCATGGCCACTATCACGGTAGTCGCAGTGGCTAGGGGTGGACAGCAACAGTCACTGCCTCTCCCGGACAACCCCACCCCTCAACAGCTTTGTGAGTGGGCTATTCAGCGAGGCAGTTCTGGTGGTGGAGGTTTTGGTTATATGGGTACTGCACAGCGGCGGCAGCAGCGTCCGCAGGGCACCTTCTCCCTGCAGCGGCTTCGTGACAGTGCTTCTCAGCGATGCGTCCCTAGTTGTGTAGAGGTTGCTGCTCTAGGTGCTAGTGAGTCTGCTGCAGCTCTAGGTGCTCGTGAGTCTGGCGCCGCTCTAGGTGCTAGTGCGTCTACAGCCGCAGGTCCTGCCTCAGCTGAGGCCTTCCACACTTTCACACTTGACTTAGGCGCGTCACGTTGCTTCTTTCATGATTGCACCACAGTCATACCACTCGCAGCACCTGTCCCAGTCTCACTGGCTGACCCCACTGGGGGCCCAGTAGTTGCGCGAGCCTCCGCTGTCCTCCCAAGTCCGGCAGTCCCCTCCGGGTTTCATTGCTGGTTGTTGACGATTACACACGCTACACCACCGTCTTCCCCTTGTGGCGCAAGGCGGACGTCAGGCGTGTTTTGATCCCCTGGATCCGTGCTACTCGTTGCTAGCTGCACGACCGGTTTCAGCAAGACTTGCCAGTCCTGCGTCTGCACTCTTGTTATAATTACAATAGGCTTCAATGTGCCTAAAACGAAAGAGTGCACAGTCGGATTTCTGCATAGCGGCTTTAAACGTTCATAGCGATCTCTTCAAAGCTCCAAATGACCTGTTTCAAATTGGATCTAGAGCGTCTTAACATTGCCTACATTATGCAATTTATATTGCACTGTTTCATTACGAATTGACGACACGACGTCAGTTTGAACGAATGGCACTATGGCAGCCACTATAGTCTTAGAACACAAATTAGGAAGAGTTACGAGTTGGGAATGACTCCCCGCTCCTACAAACCCCAAGAGCCAAGGTACAGTGATGTGGAACAGTGCCACATTGTCCCCAACCACGAAGGGTCTCGAAACTACCCTTCACAAGGGCCTACACCAAGTGAAATGTTACACTACACAAAATAATGTAACTACTCTCACTATCTTCAAGTGTACCCTTTTCGCGGGCTTCGCAGTCACTTGAAACTTGAAACCAAGGCTCTGGTTCTTCACCATAAACTCATCCTTGAGTTCTTGATGGGTCTGCTGCGCACACCTGCGACATGCCGAACGTTCGACAGACGACAAAATAAACCGCGCGGGACACACAAACGACGAAATAGAAATCGCGCGAGACACACAAACGACGACGTACACACGCGACTAGCGATGACTCGCTATTGACTCGACACACATACATTCGACATCACGACTCATCATTCACACACTATTATAAGCATGAAATCTATATTATCTCATGCCCTCATACCATTCCATGCACACACGCATGCACGCACACAGACGACAAGCCGAGTGCAAACCGTAGGTTGCACCAACAAACTCCCCCTCGGATTATTGGCCTTAGGACCTGTTGCTATCAGTTCATAACCATTCCAGCCAGCTTGCAGCACTCCCAATACCGCTGCTCCACCAGCCTCTTTGTCATCATGTCTGCCGGCTGCCCCGTCGTCTTCACATAGTGCATCTCAACTTCACCCGCGGCCACCATGCTCCTCGTCCAGTGCCATTTCACCCTCATGTGCTTCGTGAGGCCATCCAACACAGGGTTCAGAGCAAGAGTGATGGCACCCTGGATGTCACAGTAGAGTGGGGTAGGTCCTTGCTGCTCCTCCCCCAATACAGCCAACAAACGCCGCTGCCACACAATCTCCTGTACGGCATGGAAGAGTGCCATGTACTCGGACTCCACCGA